TCGTATCTGTAGGTTAATTAATCAGGAACAAATATCCTTTAATTTAGGATTACCGTGCGCGGGTTTCCTCATCAATTCAAAAAAGTGCACGCGTGCCGCTCCTCTAGTCTGGCCGTGAAGGTGGCTAAGTACTACTGTGACGCACTATATACTGATACATACATCGTGGACGCACGGTCTATGGCTTAAGGAGCTGTGCCCCTAAAATAAGTGGTCACCGTGCGGTGGCGATGAAGAGAAAAGTGAAGTGCGTGCGAGAGCGACACATGCCATAGTGCGCAGGCCGGTGGTCGGGACAGCGCTGCAGTTAGTGGTTAAAGAAAGGCGGTTCTCGGCTCGACGTCTGGCCCACAGAACTAAGCAACCTCCTCCAGGCGTTACCATTCCTTTACTATGGCTGGGGTTCCGGCTGGCGTTCATGACAGCTGAAGGTCAACCGCGACGAGAGACGCCTGCGTTCTGGCTGGCCCAGGGATCTGGCCAGGTGCCCTTGTTCTCACTGTCGTTTGTAGTGATTGATCGTGTTCCGTGGGTGGTGCACCACTGCTGCTGAGGTCGTTCCAAGCCGCTGAAATAATCCGGGCGTGGCCGAGACGAACTTGGTCGCTGAGCTACCGAGCTGCGGCAGCAGAGATCCGCGCCATGGCAAGGACTGCCGCCCGTTAGCGACGTCAACCAGTGAGACGAAACATCGTCTTCGAGCGTCGGGCATCGATGTCTTTCAACGGCTACAAACACTGCGAGCCCTTTCTGAGTCAAACAACTAGCGCTGTTAGGACTGCATATATCAGAGTACCTCTCGCGTTACTCGTTAATTGATCATCTTTCTCTGTAAATATATGTCTGCGTGCGTGCATTAGTGGCTCGACTCAGTTCCTTGGTGAGTGGTCCTGGGCCAAAATTCTGACATTGCATCACAATCCTTCGAGCCTGCCAAGATTTCGCTCGTATAGACTGCGAAGAAAGTTATCGTTCCTCGAGCGCACCCTCACAACAGTCGGTCCGATCATGAACACTGATGAGATAAGCACTGTTGTGTTACAGGTGGGGTTATCAGGCTCATAACTGCGTAAGTTAGTTTAGGCAGAACAGGCGAGGCAGAGGAATGAACATACTGCTGAGCGAGAGGCGAGCAAGGAAGCAGATGAGAGAGCGAAGCGAGTCCTCGAGTTTGAAGCTCAAGCTTCAAAAAAGAGCTTCGTCAAGTCGAGCGAAAAGTGTCAACGAACGACACCAAAAGGCTAAATCGGTGTTGCGCCTCTGGGCACTATGCCTATTTTACGTACGCCGTTTAAATGTGTAATGGTCGATTTAATCAGTCCGTTCTCACAAAAGTCGCACCTTAGCAACTGCTCAATTTTGACGCTTATTTGCCATTTGATATGCAGATGCCATTCTACGCCCCGCAATTGACCCTGTGCATGTCCCAGAAGGTTTATTGAGGTTTTCTCTCCAGTCGGGCAACCAAAGAAAATTGTAAGTGACCAAGGGACAAGTTGTACAGCGGAACTCATGGGAGAAGTGGGCAGTCTTCCAGCCATCTAGTTTTTTTAACGACACCCTACCATGCCACGGTGAATGGGCTCGTCAAAAAGATTATTGGAACGCTAAAAAATGTTGAAGAGGATGTATGTGGAAAAAACACAATCCTGGGACAGATATCTCGCCCCACTCCTTTTTGCGTACAGAGAGGTGCCGAAAGGGAGCTTGGGCTTCTCGCCTTCTCAGCTCACTTATGGCCGTAACGAGCGAGGACCATTCCCGGTGTTGAAGGAGCTGTGGCGCAATGAAGACATTGACGACACAATGCGCGCTACTTATACCTACTTGGACGATCATCAAAACCGCCTTGAAAGCATATGCGAATTGGCGCATGATGAGTTAGAGTGAGCATGCGCAAAACAAAAGGAAAGAGCCGTCCTGGAAAACTGACCGTTGTAGTTAATGTGCTACTTCTTCTGCCAATGGATTCCAGCAAGCTGCTCATGCAATGGAAGGGTTCATTTGAAGTCGTGGAACGGAAAAAATGAAGTCATGATTGATTGATTTATATCTGGCGTTTAACGTCCAAAAACCACCACATGATTATAAGAGATGCCATAGTGGAAGGTTGTGGAAATTTCGACCACCTGGGGTTTTTATTGTGCACCCTAATCTGAGCACATGGTCCTACAGCATGTTCGCCTACATCGAAAATGCAGCCGCCGCAGCCGCGATTCAATCCCGCATCCTGCGGGTCAGCAGCCGAGTACCTTAGCCACTAGACCACCATGGCGAAGCGGAAGAATGAAGTCGACTACGTTGTCGCGATAAGTATATAGAAAAAAATTCCCACATTATTATCCTTAAGGGGCTCTGAAAAAATTTTTCAATAACCATGCAAACAAATCACTCCAAGAGCTTATTGTCTCGCAACTGTAACGCCGCAAAAATTTTAAGAATCCGTCCAGTACGAGTGGAGTTACAAAGATTTGTCACACTCTGCAATCACATTCTCTCTTCTCTCGTCCCGACGAAAGCGCTGGAAGCTAAGCAGAAAAAGATGGGAGGGGCAAACAAAGTACGTCACGCGCGCCTGATTACTTTGAGCAATGATTTTTTCTTCGAATACGCGGCTTTTTCAGTGCGATCGCGAGAGCACGCGTGGGCAAGTCACGGCCTCTCACGTTGATCTTTGTAACGACTGTGCGGGCCATGTTCATATCAGGCAACGGCTGATGGTCACTATACGAGTGATTTTTGAGTGTCTTCCGTTATTTGTCGAGGGAAAAGAAAACAGTTTTAGCTGATCTTGATAATTTATAGTGGATTCCAGGACGCGTGGTGCGCTACAACATTTCGCTCACGTGTTCTTGCGAGCCTCTAGTACAGATCGGCAGCGTTTTCTGGCCATGGTCAAAAAGTGTTGCAGGGCCCTTTGAACAAGTACGTGGAACGCGAAACTTTGCCTGTGCAGCAGGTGTCAGTCATAGACAAAGTTGATGAAGGGCCACCGGAAGTGATCGAGGAACAGCAAAGCGAAGCAACTTCACGTGATCGAGATTCCTGCCCCTAGTCTATTTTGCACGCAGATGACATTTGCTGTAGAATTATCAGGACATCTAAGTTTTTAACGTTCCGAGCTACTTAAGTTGTTGAATAACTTTCAGATAATTTTACGAAGCCTCTGAGGAAAAGTGTACACATGTTCTTTTTTTGTTTAACCCGTTAGAACATTGTGACATTTTTTCCCACCTCTTCGTCACCTCAAAAAAGTTGTGAACGACTTTCTTAAACGCCAGATTGTGATGTACTATCAGGAATTTGGCCCATGACCACTAATCAAAGAACTGAGTTGAGCCACTAATGCACACACGCAAACATATATTTACAGACAAAGATGATCAATAAACGATTACCCTGAGAGGTACTCTGATATATGCAGTCGTAACTGCGCTAATTATTTGACTCAGGAGGGGTTCGCCATGTTTGCAGCCGTTGAAGGAAGTCAATGCCGGTCGCTCGAAGACGATGTTTCTTCTGGCTGGTTGACGTCGCCAACGCGCGCCAGCCCTCGCCATGGCACAGATCTTTGCCTGCATTAACATCGCGGTAGCTCGGACACCAAGCCACGCAAGGGTCGTCTCAGCGATCCGGAACGACCTCAGCAGCAGTGGTGCACAACCCACGGAACACGATCAATCGGCTTGAACGACAGTGAGGAAAAGGGCATCTGGCCGATCCCTGGGCCAGCTGCCTAGCCGCAATGCAAGCCTCACTCAGCTTTGTAGTCCTGCAGCATTCCGGAGTGCCAGCCGGAACTTCAGCCAGAGTACATTAATGGTAGCGCCTGGAGGACTTCGCTTATTTCTCCGAACTGGAAGTCCAGCCCAGAACCGTCTGTCCTTGACCACTGCGCAGCTGTGCCGACCACCTACACGCGCACTGTCACAAGCATTGCTCGTGCAGACACTTCGATTTCATTTTGATCACCCCAGCACGACGACCACTTATTTGTTTTACACGCCTCTGTCATGACAGGAGCCATGACTCATAAATTTGCAAGATGGCTACAAACATTTTGATGAACAGAAATGAGCCTCTTATATTTGCTCGACATGGCAAAAGTAAAGAATGAACGAACTCTGTAGGCGAGGCAACAGGCATTCGAACCTTTCAAGCAGCAGATTTTGGCAGGATAAAAACGGTTCTCATCATCACAAATTAGTCTAGCAACACTGTGTTTATGTCAGTTCAGTCATGCTTGCAGAGAACTGGGTTTACTCATGCACTCATTCAAAACGAAAACCTGCTGAAATAAACAACTTGAGTGCTTGTGCTCACGCGTTGTCACTAGGAAACGTTGATAACTTACGCGGAACAGGAAATCCCTTGATTAACACTTTTCCGCCCCCCAAACGCTCAAATCTTGTGATTAACCGATTCAGTCATCTTCGTCTAAGGCATGGTTGCCCTGATCGGCCACGCCAACCATGGCTTTCGTTTGCTGCAGGCCACATCCAAAGCCTTACCTTCGCCATATTCATAATTGGCATGCTAACCGAGTGAGAAAGCCGTATGCGAACAAACATGTGATATCGATAGCAAGGGGATAGTAAAGGCGAGCGCTAAACGCACGTCTTCGCGAGTTTCGACCGATTCAAAATTCAAAAAGTAAGAAATGAAAAATTAACGAGATGTGCTCTATACAATTCAATAAACTTCTAATTGTAAAAGCTGGTGAAAGGCAATATTTTGAACATCCACGTTCACCTCAATTAATGCAAACAAGTCTCAGGATGGCCGGCAACCGTCCAGTATGTGTCGTTCGTGTCTTATTCGCGCATTAAACTTCAAATTTCTCGGGACCTTTCGATGACGGCAGCTCACACACCCTGCACAGGCATGGACGACACTGTTCATTACAGTTTCCATATTGTAACGCATACGTTAGGACGTTAGCGGTCAAAAACAACGCGTTACCGCCAACACTGCAGCTGCATGGGGCCTTTAGGACCCACCTCGTCGTACTCCTTCATGGAGAACAAATGGCCATGGTAGGTTGATGTGAAGATACAGCCGAGGGTCACGATGAATATGGCGTAGATAAGGCTCAACATCGTCGTCAAGTTTCGTCTGTGGAGAAAAAGAACATGATCCATTTAGGCAATACGAATAAAGTTTCTATCACCAATCACATTACCGGCCAGAGCACGAGTTGTGAGAAATAAAGCACAACACGTACTCTCGGATCCCCATTTCGAAGTGAATGCAAATGATTGCGCCTTTTCGTTGTGTACCTGTTGTGCATAATTTACTAACACAGTCAGCAACAGAAGTTTTTTTCATAGCAAATGACTCCCGTAAAGATAACTAATACTGTTTCTCTTCTGAATCTCAAGTATGCAAGTGCCATGTGTTGAAAACATTCTGGTTTTACGTGAAACGCAAATGTTTTCCATTCACCTAAAAGCAGGATCCTTCTTGTGACTAGCTGAAATAGGCAAGAGGCTTGGATTTCATTTCTTGCAATAAATACGCGGTTAAGCCGCGTGTATTTCGTTCTGTTCTATCGAGCAGAAAAACTGGGCTTCTAGTGCCCGTAAACTTCTCTTCCGGGACAAGTCTTTTTCGTACCACTACCGTGTTGCATCCCGTATCTCGACGTACAGATGCAGCTTTGCCCTCAAGCAATTCTCTCACTTGTGGGAATCGAGAGCGCCCTCCTACCTGGCGCCTCGTTGCCCAGCTGCCGCGCGCGCGCCGTCAGCGTAGCCCGGGCGCGCATAAGCACCGGCATCCGCCAAGATGGCTGCCAGGGCGCCTCTTGGTCTGGGCCAGTCAACCGTCGGCTCCTTTCCGTGCTGGCATGTCTGGGCACGCTACGCTGGCGCGCTGCGCGGGCCTACGCAACACCACCTAGACTATTCACAAGGCCCGTTCATACCCCTCTCTCCAGACGGCATACGTCACGCTAGTTGTCCGATGTTATGACCGGCACAGCAAGGAGGTGGCCTGCAAGGGACGCTCATCGGCGTAACGGTCAAACGCTGTCCGCGTCCTGCAGGAACGCGGAAGGCGTCTGTGTGCGCCGCAGGAAATGCACATCAGCGTCACTGGGACACACAGTCGGCGTATAGCGCGTGCACGGACGGCTATAAAAGGAGCGTGTCGGGAGTGCGCTGTGTTCTCTCTCTGGACTTCACTGGCCCGCTCATTTTGAGTGCGCTCAGGGCCCTTGTGATCGAAACGCGCGTCTGTACGCTCTCGTTGCAATGCACTTCTCTTGCAAATATGTATATTAAACGCATCTTCTACTTGTTCGTGAGACGCGTCGCAAAAGTCGTCTTTCGCTGTATCCTGGGTGGCAGCCTCAACCTCTCACCCGACATATCACCGACTGTCCAGTGGCCGAGGACGCGTCGCTCAGGTGGTGGTGTTGGTCACCCCGCGCACTTTTAAGTGTGAATACACTTTATAAGCGACCCCAAACCATCCACCGCCGTCGGCGGCGTCCGCAGTCTTCTCTCTATCTTTAAAAGAAAGAGGACTTGGCGGGCCGCAGCGCGACGCTCTACCGAATAAGCCACGGACGCGACGCTGATATCGGTGTCAGTAACGCGCCTTATACCCCCTCCCCCTTCGCTCGCTCCCCCGCTCTCCTCGCTCGCTGCAGCTGCGCGCGCACCCCTCTCTCTCGCGCGCCCGCCTTCTCTCTCAGTCTCCCGTCGAGAGCGGGTCGTGCGATGGATGTCCCGGAGGCAACGCTACCATCAACAACGAATGCAGTACAACCGAATGCCAGCACTGCACCCGTCGTTGGAGGTGATGGTACCGCGGTGGTTTCGCCGACGTTGGAAGACAAGGCGGCGCTGCGAAGGGCTCGTGAGACCGAACGTAAGCGGGCGAAGCGTGCAGGGGATGCCGAACTGCGTGCTCACGAGGCCGAGTGCAAGCGGGCGAAGCGTGCAGCGGATGCCGAACTGCGCGTTCTCGAGGCCGAGGACAAGCGGGCGAAGCGTGCAGAGAATGCCGAACTTCGTGCTCGCGAGGCCGAGGACAAGCGGGCGAAGCGTGCAGCGGATGGTGAACTGCGTGCTCGAGAGGCCGAGATGAGGCGTCAGCATCGAGCCGCGAACGCGGCCCAACAAGCGGAACGACAACGCAAGCGTCAGGCGGAGAAGGGCGATGAAGGCCGGCGTCAAGACGCCGCTCGCAATCTTCAACGGCGAGTGGACGTTCCCGAAGCCGTTCCAGCCAGTGAACGTGCCACGCGGGAAAGGGTGCGAGCCCCGGACTTTGCTCGTCCGGACGCGTCGTGAAGTGTAAATAAATAATACTTCGTATATAATGTATCTGTGTACAAATGCTTCATGACAAACAACACTTAAATTCATTAATTATACGTTAATCATCATCATCATCAGTAATAAAACTCCCAAGCATTTCCCCGAGGGTGAACATGGTCAAGTGCGAATGCACGGGGTGATGCTATGAGGGGGAGTAAAGTTAAAATCCGTTGGCATTCGCCAGTGAGTTAAGGTAAACTCCCCCGTGTGATCAAATTGCGATTCCCAGGAACCATTACACCATAAAGGCACCATAGTGTGATTAATTCATATAATAGTGCGAATTAATAAATACCCCTCGTAGCATCACCCCGTGCATTCGCACTTAACCATGTTCACCCTCGGGGAAATGCTTGGGTTTTTTTTACCCCGAACGGCGGACAAGCCACGACAGGTTTGCCTTTCATCGCTACCTGCTTCGCTGGTTAGACTGCGTTAGGCTTGGTGCTGCATCGCACTGCTCTGAGTCTTCGTCTGTTCCCACGTGTCCTATTTTATTGGTGTTGTATTTGTGAGTATGTGATTACACATCGATCAGTGCGACATGGAACGTTGTTGTGTTCCCGGGTGTCGCGGCAATCATGACAGTGGTCCCAAAGTGCGTGTTTTCGCATTCCCCAAGGATGAAGCTCGGATGAAGTCTTGGATAAAAGCCATTGCGCGAAAGGATTTTACACCAAGCATACACTCCAAGGTGAGAAACTGCTGAAGTTTGTTGTCTTACCGGCTCTATCGCATTACTGCCGTTCTGGCTCTGTTACTGTTGAACGGAGCGAGTATCGTGAGTGGTGATGGTAGTTTTGTCGCGCTTCAGGTGGGGCAGTGTAGTAAAATAGAACAAAAATACTCAGGCTCGTGTCAAAGTTCCCATTAGCCCGTTTTGTAAGAAAGTAATAAAGTCACTGTTATGCTTGGCGCAGGTCTGTGAACTCCACTTCCTCGAGGCTGACTTCTTCACAAAGCTGTCACATTTCGACGCAGCGTCGGGACGGACATTGACAGTCGACAGCGAGAGGGTGCGCCTAGTGTCAGATGCTATACCATCGGTGTTTCCGAACTGTCCGTCCTACCTGAGCACGAAACGCAATCGTCGAGAATCTCCTGTTCTGATGGTTACAGGACGTTCGTCACTATGTTTGTTGATAGCGGACGAGAAAGGATCGACATGAACTTTTTATTTCATGGCATGGGTGGAACGGCTGACGGCGCACGGATACGCTACCGTGTGCAGTGCCGTTGAGTCGGACGTCGCGGCCAACCCAGCAGTCAGGGTCGCAACTCCGGAGGTCCAGGGTCAGGCCCCGGCTCACGCGGACCACGCCCGGTAGTCCTCGCCCACGAACCTGCTCCCGGCCACTGCAGCCAGACAGGAGCCGTTCAGCAGGCCCCGTCCTTGGACCTTGTACAGACACACCGGAGCTCGACCTGGCCGACACGTACGGGTCTCACGTCCGGCTCAGGAACGCTGCCAGGAACTCGTCGTCTCGAGCGGCGCACCGCTTCCTCTGCCTTCGTGGCCTCAACTCTCGAGCTCTCTTTTCCGCACGTTCCTTCTTCTTTGCCAAGGCACCGCCAGGTACCCTCGGGTGCACACTGCAGCTCATGAGCTCGTGGCCCACATCCGTGTCTGGCGCATCACTCGGCACCGCTCGGCGATCCTAGATTCAGCCAGCAACTTCCCTGGCACCTGGATCCTCGGCCACCCTGGACCTCGCCCGGTTCCGTGCTTCTCTGTGCGCACTCCCACGTCTCGCCCGGCAGAACGTCTCGCTCGTCCCTTGCCGAAGTGCGATGCTCTGGTGACACCGGCGCTTGATGGCGTGGGTGCGGCCACGGAGCAGTCAACCCGCATCGGAGACGCGATGCTCCATGCGGGGCATGGCCAGCCCGTCCAGCGAAGAGCGTGCGCCGAGACGCGATGCTCGACGCAACCGTGACCATTAGCCAGGCCACGTTCATCGCTGTGTCGAACGGCTGACCGTGGAGACGCCTCGCCGAGATCCGCGATGCCCTCGGCAAGGAAGAGAACAGCAAGCCAGGCCGCGCCCCGAGATGCAGTACTCGTGCCGGCAATGCCGCCCCAGCTGGTAGTTGGACGACAGTAGCGTGGACAGCCGCGTTCCCTGGCCGGAACCTGAATCGCCTGCGTCCGACGCTTCGGCCCGCTGTCTCCCGTCTGCCGCTGCTTCGGCTCATCCCCAGCCACAAAGCCCACTGCCACGTGATGGTCGCTCGTGGCCCAATCGTGGCACGCCACCTCTATGGGCCACCACAGGTCATCAGCTGATTCGCTGACACTCACGCGCACGTTACACGCGCCTTGCCCCGCACTTCCGTCGTTGTCGTTTTCTTCACTCATCACACCTGTCTCGAAATGAGCTCGAGTGGAAGACGAGGCCTTGATCAAAGCGATTAAGAACTCTATATGCGCAAAAAAAGCGAAGAGGAGAGAAATGCTGTGTCCTCTTTCGAACACTTAAGAGGCAAGCTTTCTGCTGTATGCAGTAATGATTTCTGGACCATCAAGGCCAACGATCGTTGTGTGATGTTTCTCCGCATCGAAGATAATCCTTCACCGCACGTGAGGTTTTCCGTCACTGTGCTTGCTGATCTCTCACTTGCAGTCTCAGCGGTATGATCAAGCTGGTTTCATTACCTTGCGGAGGCGCAGTTCCAGACGCAGTGCGCGACATCCGGACGTTGTCCTCACTGAGCTGGAAAGCCACATGACTGAGATGCCTGAAGTTGCAAGTCCGTCGAAAACAGTGTCAGTGTTGCAGCATATCG